GCGAGGTCGAAACTGCAGTCCACCCTGAGTGAGAACAACTTTTGGGAAAGCAAGGCTATGTGAAATTCAATGGAAACTTCAGCTCTACTCATATGATTGTGGGAAAATTCTACTACCAGTCCATCATGACCTTATACGAAATAGGGTAAATATATCTGATATTACTGATTTACTGGTAGTCTCAAAACTCTACACAAATACGATAAATAACTGCGTCAAGTCTGGTACAGTTCTACCTCAATCATGAGAGAGGTAGCAGTATACTAACACGTGTCTTGCTGCATATCATTGCGAAACTGCCCACGGATTGCTGTTAGTTCATACTCACCGAGTAACACAATGTGGCCAGGGTCGCGTGGTGAAATCCAATGCGAAAATCACGACTTGCCTCCACTTCATCGTGGGCCAAGTCGAAACTGGTACGCCTCTGTTGGCAGATTGAATACAGGTTCTGCAACACTGTGAATTTGAGAGCTTATTTTGACCTCAGAGAGAAGAGGCAAAACAAGTTTGCCGAGGTAGGATTGAAAGACAGTTTATTCTAAATTGGACGTCTCACCAACTGTCCCTAACGAGGATAAGGGAAGAGGATCACGGAACGTCATGAGGCTAACTCAAAGCCCCTATTGGTAGGGACGATTGGCATGTGAGATCACCGCTGTGAGTGAAATTTCGTTTGGGCTCGCCAGACACCGCCTACACTGAGGTGTAGGAATTGAACAAACAAACGCGATTTGGTGAAAAAACACAACTCAAACAGACTTACCGGACAGCAATTCCTAAAGTCCTCGACTGTCTCGACGTAGGCTTTTGCTTAAACCTCACTTTCTGTCGCGGAGTCGGTCTCACTCTATCCACTGCTAGCCCCTCTGAGTCTGGTTACTGCATCCGGTACCAATCTAGTTAAGTTGTCCATACGTGCACAACGGGTGAATGGGGCGACAACCCGTGACGATTGTCTCATGCCGCCTGCCCATGCATCCCATCGATGCGTGGACGGCAAAGAGTGCGCTCAAGGTCATAGACGCTCACATGACTCCAGACAGATGCGCAGTCCGACGTTCCCATGTCCGACAGGCAGACAAGCACGCGAACGGACACAACTGCAAATGGCAACACACGCATGCGTACATGCATATTGCCCACCCTAGGGATTGGCGCAAGCTCAGATCGGATCAGATCAGACAAGCAATTGAGCTCTCATTTAATCGCTCGCCCAAGCCCTACTCGCTCTAGCAAATGAACAAGACCGCGATCTCATGGAGGAGGACAAGAAGGCCTCCACCGCTCACTTCCGGTTGTCCGTGTTCTTCTGGGGCTTCTCGCTCGGATTTAGGTCACAAGTCACAAGTTGGGGCTGTCCTATGGCGTCCAAGAGCCCACGTGTCCTTGTAAAGTGTTGTGTTGGCAGAGGCCGACGTCTCACTTGCATAGACATGATCTACAACCGCCCTTAAGTCGGCCGGCATTCGAGAGAAAACACACGCAACACACGCACCACACGCTATCCTACGTCATCAATACGGCCGGTGTGTGCCTGAGACGGCCAACAGCATTAATCGGAATGCTGTCCTCCAGGTATGAGGTTATTTTGTGAAGTCTGCTCTAAACTCGATTCAGTGTGTTCTGGTCTCACTCCTGACGCCACAAAGGTAGGAAGAGCAAAGAAGTTGCGTAGGTCTTACGGATAATGATGCTCCGCATACGTTGCTACATTGGTCAGTCCGAACCACGGACAATGGTGGAAAAGAGACGACAATCAGGCGCACGATACCATTCCATTTCACTCAACTTTGTCGTTCAAAAGGTTTCACAGGGTGAAATTGATTTAGCTCTCCCTACACCACTCTAAGTCGACCAGGTGATTAGGGATCCTGTTAAAGAAATCTGAACCTTGAACATCCTTTTCACAAGAGGCTGGTCGGTTGAATGACTGACCCAGTTTTTCCCCACTAATATTGTGTATGAGAATATAATATATAATAATTATATGATAAGAACTTGATCCCTCCAGATTGATTGGGGTCTGTTAAGAACTGATACTTTAGATTTGTCCC